AGGGCGGTGGGGCAGATGCCCAGGTGTGGAACCTGCTATTTGGCAGCTCTAGGATGGGGGGCGGGTCCGGGGTGGAGCTGAGGGGCGGAACCTGAGCCGGGTCCCGCCCCAGCCTCTGTAGGTGAGCTGGCGTCCTAGTGCGTGAAGACTGGGCGGGGGCTTGTCGGAGGGGGGCGGGGTGGAGTACTGACTGATTGGGACCTGAGGAAGCCGCACCTGGCTCGTGGAGGGGGCGGAGCCGGGATCCTGGAGGAGACGGAAGCGTTAAGTCGGTGCGAGGCCTGCTGGACCTGTACACTCAGGTAAAGGCGGCGGCTCCAGGTCCAGGAGGTCCAGTGAGCAGCGCCCCAGGTAGGACCCAACTCGGACCGGGGAGATGTAGCCCCCTTCTCCCATGTGTCCTACCATCCGACCCTCGTTCCTTCCTATTCTCCGTCCTGACTGCACCTCTGCCATCAAATGGGAAGGGGTGGAAGGGACTGCGGTCCAGCTTCCGTGGGTCCCTTGGATCCCTAAAATGGTGGTATCTGGTGAAGGATGCAATGGACACTGGCCCAGGCTTACTTCAGGCTTTGCGACCTTGGAGAGGAGCTTGCCCTCTCTGCACTGTTGTTGTTGTTGTTATGTGTCGTGGAGTCGGTTCCAACTCATAGTGACCCTGTACAGGGTTTCCAAGGCTGTGAATCTTTACGGGAGCAGAAAGCCTCATTTTTTTCCCGCGGAACAGCTGATAGTTTCGAACTGCTGACCGTGAGATTAGCAGCCCGATTCGTAACCATCACTACGCTACCAGAGCTCCTTGACTTCTCTGCATTGAGTGTCCTCAATTGCAAAACAGGGACTGACCCTTCCGCCAGCTTGGGGCTGGGCGAGCCCGATGCAGTTGCGGAGGTTGCCGCTAGGAGGCGGGGTGGTGCGCGCTCTTTCCCAGGCCAATGGGAGCGCTTAACCTCCTTCTCCGTCTGGTCTCAGACAGAGCTGCACTGGCTTCCCCAAATCTGCACCTCCGAATGGCCTGGCTCTCATTATCCAGAACCTGAGTGCCAAGTTATTGTTGCTTTCTCATATTTGTTGTTGTTGTTGTTATGTGCCGTGGAGTCGGTTCCGACTCATAGTGATCCTGTACAGGGTTTCCAATGCTGTAAATCTTTACGGGAGCAGAAAGCCTTATCGTTCTCCCACGGAACAGCTGGTAGTTTCGAACTGCTGACCTTAAGGTTCGCAGCCCGATTCGTAACCACTACGCTACCAGAGCTCAAGTTGTTGTTGTTGTTGTGTGCCGTCGAGTCGGTTCCGACCCATAGCGACCCTGTACAGGGTTTCCGAGGGTGTAAATCTTTACGGGAGTAGAAAGCCTCATCTTTCTCCCGTGGAGCGGCTGGTAGTTTCGAACCGCTGACCTTAAGGTTCGCAGTCCGATTCGTAACCACTATGCTACCAGAGCTTCTTAGAGCTCCAGTTAAGACGGCTAAAATCCCAATTGCAGGCATCCAGGTGCATCCCAAAGAGTCTGACCATTGGAGAGTTGATCAGTGCTTTACACAGGTGATCTCATTCAGTGCTCACACCTACCTCATCAGGGAGCATCTACAACTGTAGAGGCGCAGAGAGGTGAGGTGACTTGCCCAAGGTCTCACAACGATTAAAAGGTACAATCTGGGCTAGAACCCAGACAGATTTGATGCCATTCATTGCTTAGCACACAGGAGAAGAAAGGAGAGGCTGGGTAAGCAAAAAATTGGGGATAGAACTCAGGCATTTGGGGCAACAGGAAGCATTTGATTTTAGTTTGGGGGTGATGAGTGATATAGAGAAACCAAAGAGAGCTACTTCTCCATCTGGTGGAAACCCGGGAGAGGTAGAGGTGGGGTTCCTGTGGGGAGAAAGGTGCTCTCTGTAATGGTGGGGGAGGGGTGTTAAGATGCTGAGCCGCAGATATGGGATGCAGGGAGCAAGGAGAGGAAAGGATTCTAGGCTCTTGTGATGTTAGTAGGAGCCTTGATGGTGCTGGAGGATAAGCATGGGATGGGACGGCTAATCCTAAAGCCACCCACCAGTCACTCTGGGGAAGAAAGATTTCCCGCCTCAGAAACCCTACACAGGGTCGGAATTGACTAGAAGACAGTAGGTAGGTGGGTGGGTCATGTTACTGCAGGGGTGTGAGTAGGACCTTTAAGAGTCCTCTGGGGGTCATCTCTGCATTGGGATCTTCCTGGAATCCTGGAGTAGCGCTGTAGGATAAGTACTAGACTGCTAACTGCAAGGTCAGTGGTTCAAATTCACCAGCCACTTCTCAGAAAGCCTATACAGGGTCATTATGAATTGGAACCAACTCAACAGCACTTAACAACTAGATCAGTAAAGAGCCCTGGTGGCAAAGTGGGTCAAGTGTTTTGCTTCTGGCCATAAGGTCAGCGGTTCAAACCTACTAGCCCCTCTTAGGGAGAAAGAAGAGGCAGCCTGCTCCCATAAAAATTTCAGTCACAGGAACCCTTTGGAGCAGATCTAGTCTGCCCTATCGAGTCACTGTGAGTCAGAACCGACTCATTGGCAGTGGATTTGGTTTTTGTGGGACATGCGCCAGTATCTGGAGACATTTTTGGTTTGTCACAACTGGGAGTGGTGTTATTAACATCTTGTGGGTGGAGGCCAGGATGCTGCTGTGCACCCTACAGTGTACAGCATAGGCGCCATAACAAAGACGGACCACGAAGAGGGAGCTGAGCCTACCACCCAGGCCTTTTGTCCTCAGCAGGGCAGCGAGCTCAGGTGGGTCCTGCCCTTGCTTGGGCCTCCAGCTCGATAGACCTTTGCCCGAATCTCTGGCCTGCCCCTCCCATGCTTGCTTCTTTCTCTCTGGAAGCTTCCAGAGTCCACTCTGCTTTTCCTGGACGCAATAGTCTAGAGCCTTGTCCCTCAGTGTCTGTAGTCCTTGTCAGTCTGTCTGACTGCCCAGATGTACCTGCATAGTGTTTGGTGTCAGGTGGGGAGAAACCAAAATGGAAACCATTACCTAGCACATAGGAGGTGCAAGAGATAGAGCAGTCAGGGGCTAACCAAAAGGTTGGTGGTTCGAACCTACCATAGGGAAAAAGATGTGGCTGTCTGTTTCCATAAAAATTTCCAGCCTTGAGAGTCTATGGGCCAGTTCTATTCTGTCCTGGAGGGTCACTGCGAGTCAGTCCACTACACAGCAACGAGCTTTTGTTCTTTTTGAAAATAAAGTATTTATTGAATTTGAGTGACGTTTTAGGGGTCCTCTTACTAAAGCCATTGTAATTGTGCCTTACGCTTGTGTGACTCTGATATAGACCAGAATCCACTGCTCCAGCCCACATCTCAGGGTAGGCAGAATACAGCTGTTCTCTGAGAAGTGCTGTCTGGGGGTGAAGGGTGGGAGTGGGGTCCTATTGTTTAGGGTCTCCCAGGGGGAGACTCAACACAGTTCACTCAACACTAAGGCAATCTTCTCTTAATACTGAAGGGTGCAAGAATCACCTAGGGATCTCGTTAAAATGCAGATGCTAATTCAGTCACTGATTCAGGCTGAGTTAGGCCTGGGACAAGGATGTTGCTGCTGGTACCTGGACCACGTTTTGCCTGGGCTGGACTGTGGGTGGGCTGGTCTGTCTGCAGACAACTTTGGCATGTTTGTGAGAGCGGAGACCGGAAGGAACCCAGGGTATGTAGAATCAGGAGACCTGTGTAGGAATCACCACGCCCCCTTCCCATCCCACTTGCTTATGACCCTGTTCACTTAATAGAACTTGAATGAATACATTGCTTAACCTCTTTGAGGGGTGGCCTTACATGGTGCACAGTCCTCCAGGACTGCTGATGCAGGGTCAGTGAGGGTGACATGCTCTATGGAGCTGGCAGTCTAGGTCCAGCAGCTAGAGGAGCAGTGGGCCACTGACCAGGCCAGCACAGCGGGGCGGACGTAGGCAGGGCAGGGACTGCACCAGCTTGGAGGCAGCTCGCATGCATGGCTCTGGCTTCCTCCCTCCTGCTTCAGGCTCACCCAGCCCTGCATGGTCTTGGAGAGCTGGAGAGACTGGTCTAACTGGAGGGAGGAGACGCAGCCCATGGTCTGAGTGTGGGTCTGAGGGCATAGCCAGTCTGAGGAGTGGGAGTCAGGCCTGAGGTTGTGAGCTCAGGAACTCTGGCCTAGGGACACTGGGAGGGGCTCCACAGCAAGGAAACTGAGCAGGAATTTGGAGCTTTAAGCTGGGAATGGACGAACACACACACATGCACACGCTTGCCTTGGGCAACTGACTTCAGGAGTGGGCCTAGGCAGAGTTTGAAGTACCTAAGGTACCACCATTCCTGGTCCCTCACAAATCAGTCAGGCTGGCCCAGCAATGCCCTTCTCAGCTCCTAGGACCATGAGGCAACAAGACTGTGAAACCGTTTCTCAGATGAGCAGACAGCTATTCCCATCTCTAGGTGAGCTCAGTCTTCAGGTCTGTTGCCAGTGACCAGCAGGGTCAGGCTGACATCCTGGGTGTCATGAGGCTGCCCTCGACTGGCACCCCAGGGAGGAATGGCTACCCTATTCCTGTTCCACAATGAGGCCATCCCAGCAGACTTGCAGATGCCTGTTTACATGCTGTGAGACCCTGGACCAGTCACTCCACCTCTCTGCGCCCAGCTGGCTTGTCTGTAAACAAGCATAATGACAGCCGTCTAGCCAGCCACACAGGGTTGTTGTGAAGATTAAACGAGTCATGCCTGCAGAGCACTGTGGTCATTATCATTAGTCATGGCATTTAGAGGCGCAGGGCACCTCGACATTGCCTTACCTGGAGCCTCACTTGGCAGATGTGCAGATCAGCACCTTCAGAAGGGAAGCGACTGTCCACGGGTCTCGCGACAGGTCACAGGGACAGAAGCCTGCTTCCCATCCACGTGAAGACACACAAGGTAAGCCCGGGGACCTGGGTGGCCAGGCCATGGGACGGACATCCACAGCAGCTCTTCACTTTGTAGCACCAACCATGAACTACGTGGGGCAGCTGGCAGAGACTGTGTTTGGGACGGTGAAGGAGCTGTACCAAGGCCTGAACCCAGCCACCCTGAGTGGCGGAATCGATGTGCTTGTGGTGAAGCAGGTAGATGGCTCCTTTCGATGCTCGCCCTTCCATGTACGCTTCGGCAAGCTGGGCGTCCTGCGGTCCCGGGAGAAGGTGGTGAGTGCTGGCAGTTTAAGGTGACTTTCAAAGCAGGGGGCACCCACAGCGGTCCCTGGAGAGGACCCAGGCCTCCTTTTGGTGGACATGCCTCCCTTCTTTTGTATTTTCTCTGATGGTTCTTGGAGTGGTTTGGCCCATTAGACCTGACCCAACTTACTAAGAACATAGCTGTGTTCTTCTTGGTGCATCCCTTCGTCTGTACCAATGGACATGATTCACCCACCTGATGTGCTGGTGGTATGGTTTGTGAGGGTTCATGGGAGCTGATAACACTCTCCCTGGGCAGGTGTGTGGGGGCACCAAGTGTCCCTTTGCGAACGTTCCCACAGCACCCCTGTCTTCAGTGGGCCCAGGCAAACGTGACGAAGACTCCTGTCCATACTGAGGACATGTGTAAATAGAAGTGTAATGGCCTCAAGGTCCCTTCACAGAACCCTAATAGGAAAGTGTAACCTTGTGGGAGATGGTACAGCTCCCTGGTTAAGAGTCAGGGTGTGGAGGTAGTCTTTCTGGGCTCAGATCCTCTCGTGACCACTGACCAGCCAATTAACCCGTCCAAGTCTCATTTTCCTAAAATAGGGATAATAATAGGAGCTACTTTATGGAGCTGTTGTGAAAATTAAATGAGACCAACTCTTCCAAACACTCTTTAATGGTAGTTCTGACCATTGTTCCTGTAGACATCAAATGTTGGGGCATTGTCCTGGGGCTGGGGATACAACGCTGACAAGACAGATTGCTTCCCTGTTCTTGTGGGGTATGTTGTTGGTGTTAAGTGCCATCAAGTTGGTTCCAACCCATAGTGACCCTGTATCAAATTTTCGAGAAGTAGCTGGTAAGTTTGAACTGCCAACCTTGCAGTTCAAACTGACTTTGCAGTCCAGTGCATTAACCCACAGCCCCACACTGTGGGGTTTGGGAGAGAGAAAAACTTGGAAACAAAGTGCCGACCAAGATTGCTGAGTAAGGGAGCGATCTATGCAGAGAAGCCCAGCGAATAGGGTAATGTGGGCGTGCAAGAGCAGCCAGGCACTCAGAGGTCTGCAGGCAGAGTTCCACTGGTGCAGGGCTCTGGGTCTGGAGTGAGGTTCTGCCCCACCATGCCTTGCTGCAGGTAGACATTGAGATCAATGGGGAGCCTGTGGACTTGCACATGAAGCTGGGGGACAGTGGAGAGGCCTTCTTCGTCCAAGAGCTAGAAAGTGATGAGGTAAGCTACCCCACTCTGCCCCGCCCCTGGCAGGACCTGTCTTCCTACCTGCACTGGGGACCCTCTAGGCAGGACCTTGGGGTCTGTCACTGCTCCAGCCCTTGGGAGCACCCCCTTGGCCCTGGAAATCTGCTGTCAGAGCCCAGAGGAGGGGGTTGGGCTGACTTGTCCCATGGAAGCCGGGAGCGGTTTCTTGGGAGAGGGACACCTGGACCAGGCCCCTGAGGATGAAAAGGAAGTGTTCCCCAGGGAACTTGGAGAGAAGGGCACTGAGAACTGGCTGAGGGGCGGGGGTACTGCTTGCCTTGGGGGTGGATGCTTACCTTGGGGAGGGGTGCTAGAGAGAGAAGGGATGCAAATCCCAGATCAAGCCAATTGTTGTTAAGTGCCATTGAGTCAATTCTGACCCATAGCAAACCCTGTATAGGGTTTCCGAGGAGCAGCTGGTGAGCTTGAACCACCAACCTTGCAGTTCAAACGACTTTGCAGTCTGACACTTTAGCCCACAGCGCCACACCGGGACCCCAGATCATACCAATAGAAGTGTTTTGAACTTGACTAACTTTAACTGAGCTCCTATTGTATGTCAGACACTGTGCAGTCTACTTAGACGAAGCATTTCCCCTGCCTTCAGGAAGGCTCCCAGCCTAATCTGGAAGACTGATGAGACTCATAAGCAGTGGATGCTGAAATGATATGACCATTGCAGTAAAGGGGGTTAGCAGTAGGACTGGGGGTGGTTAGGGTGACAAGAAGGAGAAGTAGGTGATGCTGTCTGTGATAGATATGGATGGAGGAGGAAATACGAGGTTGCTGCCCAGGGTTCTGCCTGGAGCAGCGTGGGCAGTGAAGCCACCCTGACCTGCTTTCACCCTGGCTGGAGAGCTCTGAGGCCTGCCCTGACCCTCATGAGCGTGGGCAGGGCTCAGGGTGATGGTAATGAGGATCACCCCCTCAGCTCCTCCCTTGGTCTACTCCACAGGAACATGTTCCTCCCCGCCTGTGTACCTCACCCATCCCTTGGGGGGGCCTGTCTGGCTCCCCCTGGGACTCAAAGAGGGGCACAGCCAGTGAGCCTGAGGGCCCTGGTGTGGCAGGTGTGACCTCCACAGGGCGGAAGAAGAGGCTCCGTAGGAGGAAGTCCAGGCGGAAGGAGGACACAGCAGCAGCTGACTCAAGTTCAAGTTCGGAGGAATTAGAAACAGGCATCGAGAATGGGCTGTCCCTGCTGGAGAAGCCGAGGCCAGAGCTCCCAGGGTGTGTCGTGGGGCAGGGGGAGTGAGGACAGCAACCCGAGGTTCAAGGGCTGGTTTTTCTACTGATGCTGTGTGACCCTGGGCAACCTCTTGATCTCTCTGGGCCTTGATTGTAGGCTCTGGCACCCTTCCTGGGGTGCCCTGCCTTGTCTGATTATTTCTGTGGCCCCTCAGCAGTGTCCTGCCGGAAGAGTCGACCTCACCACAGCCCAAAGACATCTACCCCTACTCCGATGGGGAGTTGGCCCCTCAGGCCAGGTGAGTGGTCTAGTCCAAGCCATGGTCTCACAGTGGTTTCATTTTACATTGTTCTGATGACTAATGACAATAACATGTTTCAAGTACTTACCTGCCACTGGCATGATCTTGGTGAAGTGTTTGCTCAAGTCTTTGGCTAATTTATTTAACTGGTTTGCCTTCTTACTGTTGTTTCGCAGGTCTCTTTATATATTATTTATATTTGTACAGATTTTGGATCCAACACAAGCATCATATGAGTTGTAATGATTTTTTCCCAGTTGTGAGATGGGATGGCAGGAAGTTGGCTTGGGGACCACTATGTTTCTGTTTCTTGTAGCTTCACATCAAGTGGGCTGACATCCCCTCAGAGTGACTCAGAGCTAGAGCGGCGGGCCTTGGAGCCCAGTCCCCTAAGAGCTGAATCCCACATGCAGTGGTCCTGGGGACGGCTTCCTAAGGTGAGCACCTCCACGTCAGACCCCTACCACTGCCTTTCAGGGGCTCTGTGGCCCGTGTGGGTCAGGATTGAAGTGACTGAGGCTTGGGCTTTCAGGGCATGGGAGGTAGACCCTGCACCAGCTCATAAGCTTCTCTCCCCGCTGCTTATTTGACTGAAGGTGGCCAAAGTTGAGCAGCCCAATTCCTTGATGATCCCTGAAGGCAACACTGAGGCCCCGTCTCCTCCTCGGGAAGGTCCCAGCACCCCCTCAGTCTCTGTGGCTGGCATGGACCCCTCGGGATCCCCAATCCTGCTGCAGCCAGATCTGGAAGCACCAGCTCTGCTGGGCGCCCTTCTCTCCACCCCAGAGAGAGAGGCTACCAAGACTCACGATTCTGGGAACCCACGTCTCCCTCTGACCTCAAAATCACAGAGCTGGGCAGCTCTGGGGAACCCAGCTCCCACGGGCAGGAAAGGTGAATGAGGATCCCCTGGGTGACTCTGGGAATCCTCAGTTGTGTGCCAAGCACTGTGCTGGGCACCAGCCCTCCTGAGGCTCATGGTTGGAGGGGTGTGGGGGAGGTCAGACAATGCCTATACAAACAATGATGGTATGGTGTGGGAGATGTGGGAGAAGGAGCTTGAATGGGGTGGTAGCGGGGCTGTTTAAAATGCATGGTCAAGGACGATCTCTTGAGTGGGTGATGTTTAAGCAGAGATGCGGAAGGTAACGATCCATATGAAGGAGGACTGTTGTTAGTTAGCTCCCACTCATGGCAACCTGTTACCACACATCGAAACACTTCCCGGTCCTGTGTCACCTTCGCGATCACTGGCCGGCTCAAGTCCATGGTTACAGCCACTGTGTGTTTTGAGTGCTTTTCAACTCATCTTTTAGCACTAGATCATATATCATTCTGTTGTGATTCGTAAGAGTTTTCATTGACTAATTTTCAGAACTAGATGGCCAGGCCTTTCTTCCTAGTTCCATTGAAACCTATCCACCATGGTTGACCCTGCTGGTATTTGAAATAGCAGGGACATGGATAATTTCTAGCATCCTTGCAACATACAAGCCACCATAGTACAACAACTGACAAAGTGAGGACAGAGGGAACAAAGTGTGTCAAGGCCATGAGGTAGGAAAAAAGTTTCGTGTTCTAGGAATCAAGGGGGCCAATGAGTCTTGAGTGAGGCATGGGAAAGGGCTGCGAGGAAGCTGGCAGGGTGGGTAGAGGCAAGACACCTCAGCTCATAGCTGGGGTTTATCGTAAGAGCAAAAGGAAGGCACTAGGTATGCGCTGGCCAAATCAAAAACCACTGGTTGTATGTGGCTACTTAGAATTTAATTAAAATGAAGTTGAAAATTCAGGTCTCCATCTCTCACTAACCACATTGAACAGCACAGATGTGGAAGCATTCTGTCATCGAGGAGGTACTACAGGACTACTGGACGGTGCTGCGGTGGGGATTTCAGGGGTGTAGGCACAGGTACTCACACTGCTGAGCACATACTGGGCCTAAGGTGTCCCCTCCTTTGCCCTCAGACTCCCTGAAGAGGAGCCAACACCTGGGTCCCAGTGACATCTACCTTGACGACTTGCCCTCCCTGGACTCTGAAAATGTGGCCCTTTACTTCCCACAAAGGTGTCTGGTCTGGGGTACCTGGGCTGTCTTGGTTCAGAACACGTGGAGTTCTCCATCAAGGACCTGGGAAGGGTGGGACTGTCCTCCTGACCTCCGTGTATTCACATTGCTGTTGGCTCCTTTGTCTCCAAGTGACTGTGGGCTGGGGGTCAGGAGGTGGAGTGAACCCAGCAACCAGAAGCTCCTGGGGGACCCCACACCAGAACACGTGCCAGAACCCGCTCCTGATGCCCTGGACACTGTTGTGCTGTCCCTCTGTGGGGGCCTGGCTGACGGCAGGGACATCTCCCTGGGTATGTGCCACCGCGACCCCTTCTGAGGATCAGGAAACTGGGGGTGGTGGTCAGTGAAGACCCCAGAGTGTGGTAGCAGCAGAGGTGTGAGGGGCTGGGCTGTTTCTCTAGAGTTTACTGTCAGCCACCCAGGGTGGATATTGAAGCAGACACTCAGCCTGGTATGGTAACAAAGCAAATCCCAGCACGGGGACAGCGCATGCCAAAACCACAAGACCTGAGTGGCAGGAGGCCTGAGTGAGGCTCTCCCAGGTCTGCAAGCCTCAGCCTCACCCCCTGCCTCTCACTCTGTGCCCAGCTAAATTCAGCCAGCACATCGTCTCCTACCATGACCTCATCAAAAACCCCAGCCTCCTGGATGACCCCAACCTCGTGGTGAAAATCAATGAGAAGTGAGTCCCAGGCTGGGCTCCTACCTACCTTTGAGTCACTCCACCTCTGGGGTCCTGTGGAGTCACTCCACCTCTGGGCTACCGCACCCCCCACAGCCCCATTTTCTTCCTCCAGGCATTATAACTGGGCAGTGGCTGCTCCCATGATCCTCTCCCTGCAAGCCTTCCAGAAGAACCTGCCCAAGGTAATGAGCCTGGAGCTGGAGGACCCTTAACAGAGAAGTGGAGGGTGGGCAGAGGTGGCCCTTGGGAGAGGAGACAATCCCTTCAAGTCTTACCCTTATCTTGTGGGGACAGAGCCCTAACCTTCCCGGGTTCCCTGGCCATGTTGTTAAGTGCCATCAAGTCAGCTCTGACTCAGAGTGACTCTGTCTAGGGTTTCCAGGACTAAATCTCTGTGGGAGCAGAAAAGCCTTATCTTTCTCCTGCTGGCAAGCTTGAACTGCAGGCCTTATGGTTAGCAGTCTAGTGCTTATCCTGCAGAGCCACTGCACTCCCTTCCTAGCCATGAGCGAATCCTATTGGATTTGGGCCTTTACTTCAAAGGCAACTGGGACAAACCAGAGGGGCATAAACATCTAGCAGATGCTAAAAAGGGGCAAGCTTTCCACCAGAGGTTTCTGGATCTGCCCCCCACCCACCTCCCTTCATTTCCCCAAGAACGCATTCTGACTGGGCTGGAGGTGTTGGTGTTCTATCAACATTCAGGCTGGGGAAAGTCATAAACTAAATCGAAGCATAGGAAAATGAAGTTGTGTCACCCAGATGAACAGATGATTCAATTGTGAGTGCTGGGAGGAGAGGACTAGGTGCTTTGAGAGCCCCAACAGGGGGATTTGCCAATGGAATGCCCCACTGGGCTGAGATCTGAGAATAAGCTGTAGCCAGGAAAGGGGCAGGGTACAATAGCATGTGCAGATGCCTAGAGGTGGGAAAGAACACAGCTTCTTCAGTCTCCCAGGCCACCTCCCCTCATCTTGGAGAATAATGTCTTCCAGGTCAGCAGCAGCCTGTGCTTCTGTCCCGTCTGCCCCTCTGGGAGCCATTCGAAGCCCCACTGTGATTGACCCACAGTTCTCAGCTTACTTGAGCTAACCCAAGACTATCACCAACTAGGTGTTGACAGAGGGTACCTCCCTTTGGTGATGCTCAGCTCCTTTTATGGCATTCTTGGCTGGCTCTGGGTCTGCACTTGAGGCTTATGGGAAGGAAGAGGGTCACTCCCCTGCTTGGTTCTCCTCACATTATTCAGACAGACCCACCACTTGAAGTCCCTGGGAGACTCCCCCAAGCCCATTTCCAGTTCACGTGAACACCTGGTCAACCCACCTTGTCTTTCTGACTTGGGTTCTCGCTTCTAAATCTATAGGATGCTATGTCTCCCAGAAGGATCTTGGTTTGGGTTCTCCCGAGATTATCTAGTGCAAATCCAATCAACACACTGAACAAGGTCTTGCAGCCTTAGCCAGGCAACAATGTCACAGAGAGGGAGGCTATACTTAGAGGAGCTTTGACCTCTGGAAATTACGGGACATATTGAACATAGACAGTCCTTCTGCTGCCACTTGGTGGCATCATGCAGGGGGTACCAGATTTTAAGAAACTCCCAAACACTGCATTAGTAGTGATACTGACCCACAGACAGGCCAGGCTAAGGCTGGGCTCCAGCCAGGGCCCTAGTGTGATCCTTGATCTCCTATGCACAGTTCTGAGTCATTGCTTAGAATCCCAGCCTGGAGGTGAGTGGGCTTCCTCAGCCTCCAGATGTTAACAGTACCTCAATCTAGGGTTGCCCCAGACCCTGAGCATGCAAGGGTGTTAAAGGCAGGTAGGTTTGTGCTGTGCAGGTAAAAAATACCATGGTGTTCATCTGCCCATAGAGTACCGTGGACAAGCTGGAGAAAGAGAAAATGCCCAGGAAGAGTGGACGGTGGTGGTTTTCCTGGAGGCGTAAGGAATTCCCCACTGAAGAGGTAGGTGGTCATGACTGAGGGGAAGTGGGATCAGCCCAGGACAGGAAGCAAGGGTCACTAGATGAACATTCTTCTCACAGCGCAGTGCCCAGGGAGAGAAGACCACTTCCAGGGAGTTGCGGAGGTGAGCTGGACCTTCTGGTTGGGGTTCTGGAACCTGGGGATGAGCTCCCATTCCTTTCCCTGAGAAGCGTCCCTGTATCACAGACACAAAACCTGAGAGCTTCTCAGGCTTCTTGCGCATCCACATTCAGGAGGACCAGGGCTGCCCCCAGCCCAGCCTGCAGTTGCTAACTGCTTCCTCTGTCACCTCTGAAGCCCCCAAGCCCACTGGCATCAAGTCAATTCTGACTCATAGCCACCCGATAGGACAGAGTAGAGCTGCCCTGTGACATTTTCCAGACTGTAATCTTTACAGAAGCAGACAGTCTCATCTTCCGCCTGCTGAGTGGCTGGTGGGTTCAAACCTGTGGGACAGCAGCTAGTGCTTTAACCACGGCACCACCAGATCTTCTTTTCACTGAAGTGACCCAGAATGTCTGAGGCTGGGGATGGAAGGTAGTGGTGAGGGGTGATTAACTATAGGTCAACTGAAGCCTAATAGGGAGTAAACCCTAGCAAGCCCTACAGAATTCCAATGTAATTATTTCCGAGGCTCGCAGCCCTGTGTCTTGGCTTTAGCTCTGCTGTCCATTGGGTGTACTCTGGGGGCCAGTTCCTGTGACTAGAGAGAGGAACCCCTGAGAGTCTGGAGGGACAGGTCATGGCTTTGTAGTCTGGGCCAAGGGTGGGTGTCTCCTGGGAGTCAAGGGCCCTCAGCTAGTGGGGACGTGGCCTGAGAGCCTGGACCGCCCACAGGGAGAAGGTAGATGCCCTGAGCAGTGAGGATGATGGCCCAGACAGCCCTGTGATCCTTGAGGTCCCCTCCCCACCACCCTCACCTCCAGCCTACACTCCCACCTACAAGAAGTCTCTCCGCCTCTCCTCTGAACAGATTGTAAGTGTGCACATGTGTGTCCTTGTGTGTGGCGGTGGTGGGGCCGAAACCATTGTGGCTCCATGGAGCCAGGTGGACACCAAAGGTCAGAATCCAGCCATTGGCAGCCTCTCTGATGGTATCTGCCTGGGGACTCACTCCTGCACATACCAGCCCATTTCTCTGTTGGATGCCCTAGCAGAAACAGCTTGTTATGTCATCCTGAAATCTCCACCTTCAGTGGGCCAGATGGCTCCGGTTCTACCCTCAGAAACCATCAGGGGTCAATGACCAAGGACAGCCCCTCAGATTGTGCCAACCTGGTCCCCCCAGTTGTAGCTTATCAGCGCTCAGGGACAGTTAGCTCCATGGTCAGGGAGGTGCCTGGGAGGTCTGGCCAGCCTGGCTGTGAGCTGGAGGCCATCTACCTGGTACTCTGGAGTCAGCCAGGGCCTGGAAGCCTGCCTGACCCTATTCTATGGATCATTTGCAGGGCTGTATCTCTCTTTAAAGGAGTGCCTGTGAAGATTCCAGCAGAGAGCCCATCTATGGAGTTGGGGTGTCCTAAGAATCTGGGCAGGAGTCAGGACCAGGCTGTGTCTGAGTTTTATCTTGAAGGGGAGCAAAGGTTGTCTCGGAGTTCAGGAAGGTTGTGAGTTGGAAGGAGGTGGTGAATAAGAAGGTTGTGAAGTTAGATGACTATAGTATAAGCTAGACTCCCAAACGGACAGGGTTGGCCATGCCTGCTTGTGGCTCATCATAACTCCCCCTTTGTCTGGCCCCAGCGGCGCCTGAATCTGCAAGACGGTGCCAATGATGTCATTTTCAGTGTGACCACCCAGTACCAGGGCACCTGCCGCTGCAAAGCCACCATCTACCTGTGGAAATGGGATGACAAAGTGGTCATCTCTGACATCGATGGTACCATCACCAAGTGAGGCCCTGCCAGCTGTGGGGAGGGAGGTGGGGACCTGATTCCCTCTGTCCATCTAATCAGGTGTGGTAGGACCACACCTGTGGCACAGAAGGGCAGTGGGGCTACCTCAGAGTGACCCCTCCCTCTGGCTCTAGGTCGGATGCTCTGGGCCACATCCTGCCCCAGCTGGGGAAAGACTGGACACACCAGGGCATCACCAGTCTCTACCACAAAGTCCACCTGTGAGTGTCCAGGCAGGGGCAGGACCAGACCCCCAGCTGTAGGAGGGAGTGACGGTCTAGAACTGGGTATAGGGGACTGGCAGGCCCACCAGGGGAGAACCTGGGGCAGGTTCCTGGAGAGCTCAGACCTACCTTCTGTGAGCAACTCATCTCCCTGGGGCTGTGTTCCAGGGTCCAGGTCTGATAGCTGGCCTAACTGCTACCGGGGAGGCCCACACACTGGCCTGAGCCCTCAGGTCCTCAGGATTCAGTCCATGGGCTTCCCAACTGGGACAGCCACTGAGACCACCTCTCAGCTCTGACCCAGTTGTGCACCAAGGCCCCTTCCACCAAGGGCCTCGGTTTAAAATCCCAGGGTTGGGTTGGATTGGGCCAAAGTCCAGTGATAGGATGGGGATAGGCTCTGACCTGAGTTGGAAGGGCTGGTCTCTGAAGTGCTCTATCACCTCTCTCCCCAGAAACGGGTACAAGTTCCTATACTGTTCTGCGAGGGCCATCGGCATGGCTGACCTCACTAAGGGCTATCTGCGGTGGGTGAGCGAGCGGGGTTGTGGCCTCCCCAAGGGTCCCATCCTGCTGTCTCCTAGCAGCCTCTTCTCTGCCCTCCACAGGTAAGTACCCTCATGCAATACAAGCCCTTGACCCCTTGGAGGAAGGAGTGGGCCCACAAGCAGCCCTGGCCAGCATTAGGTTTCTGTGTCAGCTGAGGGCTGGATGTGGACCCATGCTCACTTGACCTTGCCTCCTCCTGGTTTCTGCCTCTTCTCACCCCTTCCCTGCCTGCCACCTGGCTGCCCCAGAGAGGTGATTGAGAAGAAGCCAGAGGTGTTCAAGGTCGCCTGCCTGAGTGACATCCAGCAGCTCTTCCTGCCCCACAAACAACCCTTCTATGCTGCCTTTGGGAACCGGCCCAACGTGAGCTATACCGTCCCCACTGGCCAAGACACCTCCCGCCCACCTCCCTGTTGGCCTGTTCACCTGACCCCTCCTTCTCCCCAACAGGACGTCTTTGCGTATCGGCAGGTGGGCCTCCCTGAATCTCGCATCTTCACTGTCAACCCACGGGGCGAGCTCATTCAGGAACTGCTCAAGAACCACAAATCCACGTGAGACCAAAGCCTGCCCAGACCTAGCCCCTCCCAGGCTCTCACCTCCTCACCTGGGACTCTGTCCCTTGCTCTGGGGCTCCCAGCCATGACAAGAAGTCTCAGCGCTGTCCCATTCTGCCTAAAGGTACGAGCGGCTTGGTGAGGTGGTTGACCTCCTCTTCCCGCCTGTGACCCGTGGTAGCAGCACAGACCTGCCCAAACCAGAATACAGCAACTTCTGCTACTGGCGGAAGCCCCTGCCACCTGTGGACCTGGATGCTCTGGCCTAGCCCAGAACCGACTGGGTAGAAGTGGGGTACCATGGGCCAGCACACCATAGGGTAGAAGGGAAGGAGGGGTGTGTGGGCTGGATGGCAGACATGGAGACCCCCTTTCCTCCAGCTGAGTGGGAGGGGGTAGGGCAAATGCTCTAGACTTTAGCATGGGCCTGGCCTGAAGCAATTAAACGTATGTCACTGGGGCCCTTGCAGGGTGTTCTGTGCCCTTGATGTCTCTGTCCCTGTCACCTGGGGCCTTGGCAGAGAGAAGGGGGAGTCCACTGAGACGGGGGCTGGGAGCTGTCCTGCAGCAGCAGTGGGGAGAAGGGCTGAGTAGCCACCACCCCAAGGAGCCTGGATTGATCCTGTGAAGTTGGACTCTCACATGGGGCCTGGCCCCTTCCCACTGCCTCTCCCTGCTGGTACTGCAGCACATGAGGTTGCCCCAACCCTGGGCACTCTGGTGCCCACCCCACAAGCAGCAGGGAAAGGGGAGTTTCCAGACAGTGGATGGGCCATTGGAATGTGCCGTCGTCCCCAGCTTCTAGCCTTGCCCCTCAGCACCTCCCCTGAGGACGCCAGTGGGGCAGGTGGATGTTGGCTTGGCCTCCCTCTAGTTCTATTCTCATACAGTTGCTGGGAGACCTCCCATCCAAAGAGCTGTGAAAAGCAGGCTTGACCCCGCTGTAACCCTTATCCCTTGCCCCCCCCCCCCAACCAACCCAGCCCCTCAGACCTTCGCTGGTGAACACAGTGCCTTTAGATGGGCTAGAAGTTTTACTTCAAAACCTGCCCTCCTCCGACAGTTCCAAGGTGGAGGGTAAAACATGGAGGTCTGGCTTCAGAAGCCGGCAGAACAGCACACCAGGACCCCGGCTGCTGTGGGGGGGAAAAGCCTTCGGAGACTGTGCAGACCCATTGATTTCCTACCTGAATCTCACACCAGGGGTGGCTGTTCCTGGCAGGGCTCAAGTTTGGCAAGTGTGGTGGGAGCAAGGTCTGGACCCCTTTCCCTCCAGCAATAGCCTCCTTGCCAGGCTCTGGCCACGTTCAGGGCCAAAGAGGCTCAGACCTGGGGGGAAAGATCTTACCCCAAAATGGAAAACAGACTGTGGGACCAGAATACCCCAAAATACCTCTGGGGAAGGAAAGGAAAAGGATAGATTGGAGGTGGGCATTCCCAAACCTCCCCTGTGAGATTCTCTAGCTGCCAGTGCCGGGTAAGAAGGAATAAAGCGCACGCATGGCCGACTCTCTGTTTCGTTTGTCCTGGAGGAGCTGGACCCTCCTGCTCCTCGGTGCAGCTACAGCAGTCCTGAGCTGCCATGTGTGAGAACAGTTCTGTGCTCGCCCAGCCCTGACAGCCAGGGATGGAAGCCAAGGGGAGAAAGGAGTCAACAGCTCCCATCAGCCAGTGGGCAAAGAGAGACACAGGTGGAACGATGGTCTGAGAAGCAAGCTATAGTCTTGGCAGTTACTGGTGAGTTGCATCTGCTGACGAGCAAACTGCAGACCGTGGAAGTGAACTAACTCTCCTGGCTCCTCTCGCCTTCAGACACATTCTTGCTTTTCTGCATCGTCCAGTTTGTGACCCACCAAGCATGGATTTTGGTGGCTGTGATAAGTCTTGTGGTGCTGGACCAAGCCCATTTCTTCTTTGGTCTCTGAAGTACCATCCATCCTGGGGGACACTGGGTCTAGGGTCCTGCTTCCAGGGTTGGTAGGCTCTGTGGAGTGGAGCCTGTCGGCCTACCTAGTTGGTGTGCCCTGGCCGCACCTGCTCAGCCAGCTGGGCCCGGCAGTCCAGCAAGTCATTCTGGAGGCGGGCGATGTCCTGAGCATGCTGAGCCAGTGTGCGGTTCAGCTGGTCCACATGACCCCACAGGCCCTCGCTGGGCTTAAGTGGCTCAGTGGACAAGCTGTTCAGGCCTGAGGCCAGCAGGCCCAACCTCCCACATTGGCCCTCCACTTGTGCCACCCTCCGGTCAAAGTGGCCCATGGCATGCTGGAGTTCCTGGGCTGTGTCCTGACATCGGCTCAGTCCGCCGGCCACGCTGGCCACACCTGCCTTGAGTCGCTCCAGCTCCCCCTGCAGGCTCAGGACCTGCCTGTGGCCGGCCCGAAGCCTCGCGCTCTGACTACTAACCTGCTCCTGCATGGCATGGACCTCAGTTTCCACCTTACGTTCCCGCTGGTCCAGGGACATGTTGGCGGCCATGAAGGCATCTGAGTACTGGCTGATAGAGTTGCTGAGGCCTGTGAGCGACTTGCTCACTGAGTTCAGATTGACCTTGAGCAGGGTGATCTCACCTTGGATCGAGCTGCTGGCCGATCCTGCCAGCTGCCCCTGGACCTTGGCCACGGTATCTTTGAGCTCTCTGAGCAGGGCCGAGTGGCTGGCCACCTGATGCAAGAGGGCCTCATTGCGGCTCTGCCAGGCCTTCACCTCGGCCACAAGCTTGTCCAGGCTGGCTGAAGTGCTGGGGGTGCAGGAGGTCTCTAGTGAAACCAGCCGTTGTTCGAGCACTGCCAGCTCTGTCTGCACAAGTGGCTGTGTGGGCCTGCCCGGCAGGGCACTGTCATGACTCAGTTCCCCAGACAGGGCCACCAGGCGCTCCTCAAGGCTCTGCACACGCTCTTCCAACGTGGCTCCCAAACCACCCCATCCCTTCTGCCCCACCCCCAGACAGCAACTCCTCACTCCATTCTCTGTCCCATTGAGGGTCTCTAGACCCTCAAGCCCACCATCAAACATGGCAACAGGGAGCTGAGTGAGCTCACCCCCAGAGGGAGAGCCATGACCCCTTTGGGCCTCAGTGACCACCTGTAGGTTTCTCTCAAGGCTGTCCAAGCGGGCACTGATGAGGGCCAGCTGGCCACAGCAGCTGCCCCTGCCAGCCACACTCAGGCCCTGCAGCCGGATGCCCAGCTGGGCCAGCTCCCGGCGCAGGGCCAGCTCCCGGCCATCCAGACTCTGGTGCATTCTCCGGCTGGCCGCCTGACCCTCCTCACACTGCTGCCGTACCTCCTGCACCCACAGGCCGCATTCACTCTGGATACCCTGCAGTTTCTGCTCGAAGCCATCCAGCAGGCCAGCCCAGAGCTGGTGCAGCCGGCGGTCCACATACTCCTCCAGCAGGGTCAGGGAAGTGAGTGGGGATGGTGGAGCCTCCCGCAACTGCTGCAAGTGGGCCTCGTGGCCCAGGGCCAGCCCGTGCACCTTGTCTAACAGTTGCATCTTGGTCCGCAGCGTGTTGCTCACCTCAGTCACCTTGCTCAGCATCTCATCCAGGGGAGGTGTGAATGGTCCTCCAGCTCTGTCTCCTGGGCCCACAACCCCCTCGGGGATGATCCCGAAGCCCACGGGGGTGGCAGGAGCCCTGGGGCCACCTCTCATCCTGTTGGGGTCCTTATGGCTGGCCACTGTGCCTCTGAGAGTACCGTATGCTTGTGCCAGACGCTGGACATCACCCTCTAGGCGCTCCAAGCGATCACCAAACAGCCCTGGTTCTTTCCTTCCTGGGAAAGAAGAGAACCCCAGGGCACCACTCAGCTTGTTTTGTCCTTCAGCTGCCAAAGTTTTCTGCTCTAAGCCAACCTTCTCATGGGAGAAATCCTCCTTGTGGAGGAGTCCTGGGCTCTCCCTCATGTCCACCCATCAGTAGATCCTTCCAAGCTCTGTCAGAACCCAAGAAATGGATCCCCTTGGTAAGGTCTCTGTGGGTAGACTCACCATTTGGACTGGGGGTCACTCGGCTATAAAGAGAGGGCCTAGGGCCTGGGCTCAGCTGCCCCAAAGGAATCTGAGGTTCCGGCTCTGGCTGTGGTAGGGCAGCTCCATGGTCAGTGAGGTGCTTGGGGCAGCCTTCTCCAGTTAGACCGGGGCAGCAACGCCAGACAATGTCTGTCACTATCTTGTAGCCGATCTTGTATTTGGGTCTAAGCACCGTGCGATACCTGACAAGAGAAAAGGAAGACAGTAGGAGGCAGAAGCTAGGTGAGTGCAGCCTAGCTCTGCCCCAGCCCCAGCCCTCCTCCTGGTCTTGTGACCTAAGGAACCTGTCTGTGGCCTGAGGTTCCTGCTTCCAGCTGGGTGACTTGCTCCCCTGGGTCAGTATTCAGGGTCCTTCTCCAACACCTGTATGAAGCCTAGATCTTTGTCTACTTTCATGCCACCCCAGATTTTTCCTTTTTCTGGCTTATGGTAAGTGTTGGGCTGCTAAGCATAAGGTTGGCAGTTCAAATCCACCAGCTGCTCCATGTTGACAGGGTTGTGACAGGCTTCTAGGTCTTGGAGAATTGGTAGGATACAGGTAGAAACCCCACCCTCATCCTATTTGCTTGATGGGTGAGAGAGGCATTGTTGTTAAGTGCTGTCGAGTCTGTTCCAACTCATAGCAACCCTGTATAGGGTTTCCAAAGAGTGGCTGGTGGTTAGCAGTTCATTGCTTATATAGTGCCACACCAGGACCTGAGGGGGAAGGTAGCAGGGTTGTATCAGCAACACTCCCAAGACCATGTGGGTCCTTTGAGCTCATGCTGCCACCAGAAATTCCACTCTGGCTTTTGTGGAATCTGGAGAGTTCTGACAAAGCCCCATCCAACCTGTGGGTGGAAGACATTGCCCTGAATCACTGTGCAGGGTACTACTCGTGGCTCCTCCTACTTCACCCCACTCCTCCCTAGACCACTACATGAGCTCGGCTCTAGTGATGCTGAACAGGGTGGAAGTGGTCCCCAGGGAGCGCCTTCCTGCTCATCCATGGATGCTCTGGAGGAGACAGGGCTGTTGTCAGGAACTTGTTTGAACTTCTCCAGGGCTAGTTGCACCTCTGCACACATGGCCACACTTGTCTAAGTTCCCCGCCCAACACACACACTCTAGCTTCCGTGCCCTCCCCTTTAGCCTGCCTTCTCCATGGTCACCACAGTCTGTGCCTTTGGCCTCAGTCATTGCTAGTGAGACCCTCTACTCACACCCCTCCTCTCCTGGGCATCTCCCCTTGACACCGTCGTCCTCTTGTGGTTCCTGGACTCCAACCCGAGCCTGCCCCTATCTCCCTGCCACAACTTATTCAAAACCTTTGGGGTCCTCTGAGGTCCTCTTTACCAGGGGCCCTGATCCACTTGGGTCTGTATGAAGGCTGGGATGAGATGTTTGGGGCCCAAGGAGCTACAACCCTTTGTGGAGTTGGCAGTTGCTCTTAGCTGATGGCAAGACTGGGCGTATGACAGGGGGTCCCAATAGGTGGGATGGGGATGCACTCACGTGACTGTTCCGGGGCACTTGGGGCCCCACCCACACTGCCGGTACTCAGCTTTTATGTAGCTCTCTGCTCCTTCCTGTAGGACACAGGTCACATTTCTGTGCACCATGTAGGCACAAAGGGCTCTGTGGGGACAATGTTAAGTGCCATCAAGTTGGTTCTGACTCACAGAGACTTTGAACCACCAACCTTGTGGTTAGCAGTCTAGTGCTTATCTACAGCATCACATTGGATGGTGCCCTTGAACTATCTAGCGTGGGCCAGACCCACTGAAGCTCCTACTCCCTGCATCCATGGGTCTCAGCAAGGGACCAGACTCCCCATTTCTCATCTGCCCTTCTAGCTTTGAGGAACCAAAGCCACTGACCAAAGGTCCCGAGTCTTCTGGCCTGGTCCCAGCTGCACTGCTGGTTTCTGTGAGCTAAAAGTATTGTGCTCAACCAGAGGCCTGGTATGGCTGCCATTCCTGTGGTCTGAGGGTACCCCTAGGTTCCCCCTAAAGTGCCCCCCAGCCCTCCCCCCACCCCCACCCCCCGCATCTCCACCCTCCTCCAACTCTTCACTGGTTCCAAGCTTTAACTTGGCATTGGAGGTTCTGAGATCTCAGTTGAGACTCCTTTGAGAGCAGGTTTCTCATCCATGCTCCTCTGCCTCCTAAGAAAACACATCCTACCTGTAGTCTTCCTCCGGTCAGAATTCCTAGCCCCTCTCAGACCAGTTCTTAGTTGCCCAGCCAGCCCCACTGCATGTCAGCTATGAGCTAGCTGGACATTCTCTTTTTCCACCACCCCTCAAATTCAGCTGGACTCTCCACAAGACAGTGCCCCAGGCGGCACCCCCAACCCACATGACTGGGACCCTGTCTAAACCATTGCCTTACTAGAGACCAGAGGCTGAGGCAGTTCTGCTCTGGGGTCTCAACACAGGCCAAGGGCCCAAAAGTCAACTCCCAGTTCTGCTGCCAAGCCACGATGGGGCTCCCTATGGGATTGCTGGGACTAGGCAGCATGTCTCCATCTCCTACCTGGCGGGACAGGGGAGAGCTGGGAGGCCCCGGCGGGGGAAGCCCCATGTGCTCCTGTGCAGCGCTCATCTCCCTCCACCTGGTCGACTGCGCCCGCAGTTTACACACACTGCAGCTGGAAAATGTTACTTCGCCGGAAAGGTTTCTGCGGGCGCTGCCAGGATCCCAGCCACCGCCAAGGCCCCCTCGCCTGGTTTTCTATGCCAACTCCGCAGCCTCCCGGAGCTCGCCCGATGGCGCTTCTCAGGTACCCGGCCCCGCTGTACGGGCAGGTGAGCATGGCGCCCGAGCCCCCGCTCCAGTGCTCCGCCTCCCGCCCCTGGCGCGGCCCGCGCTTACTTGTGCGGCCCGGGGCGCAGCCGCGGGCGCCATCCCGTCGTGTAGAGGTTGTAACTGGAGGCCCTGGGCGGCGCGGGCCGCGCCAGGAGCGGGGTGCCCTTGGCCTGCGCGCCAGAGAGCAGCGCCGCGACGGCGCACAGCCAGGCGGGCAGACGGCGGGGACCCATGGCGACCCCGACCCTCCACCTGGCCGCGTGGCGACCCCCGCTGGACGTCCGCCCGCCGCGCCGCCCCGCCGGCCGGGTCCCAGTCCTGCCGTCGGTCGCGCCCCGGGAGCTGCTAGCCCAGCCGCCTGCGTCCCGCGGAGTGGCCGGATAACTCGCGTCTGGGGCCGCAGAGGGGAGGCGGGAGGCGGGCTCTGCACGGATTAGCATAAACTTGGGCCCGAGCCGCTCTCCTACGCCAGCCCCCTCCTCCGCTGCCAGCCCCCCGCCCCAGCTGCGAGCTGACGCCTGAGGGGCCGCCTGCAAGCAAGAGGTTAAGAAGGGTGCAGACCTGGGATGACTGGGGCGTAGGTCACCACGCCCTGAAAAGGTCCCCCAACACACTTATCTGCAACCCTCACCTGTGAGCAGACCCTGTAGCCCGCCTGTCCCGGGGCTCACCCGGAGCCCTCCACCCACCACGCACTCCAGAGGCCACAATTGAGGGCTCAATACCTGAGATGAACGTGTTTGGGGGCACAGTGACACAACCTCCCCAGCTGCCTCATTATCTGGGGGCAGGGGTGGGAAGTGAGGGACAGGACCTGTCACACCTCTGCTGACCTGTCCCATCAACCACTACTGCCCAACCAGGTGGCCAGGCTGCCCCCTCTAGAAGGAGCCTTGTGTGTCTCGCGTTATGTGCTGTACCCAGTGGCCATCACCTCCCAGTCTAGTTAAGGATGCTCTGCTTCTCTTTGTGCAACCAAATTCTTGTGCAACCAAGCTCATAGTGTCTGGTCAAAGAATGCCTTAGGTTACCTCCATCTCTCACTTATGTACCCAAGAGCTGACCTTTATGTTCATCCTGGTTCAAACCCATCATACATTCCAGAAGGCAAAAAAACCTTTGAATCCAGATTCCGCCATCTAACAGAGTAGCACATCCTCCAAAGATGACCACAGACCACAGGAGTGAAGGGTGCACAGAACTTGTAAGGTACACCTGGAGAAACCTCCCTCCAAACAGACTGAGACGTGAGTCAACACCCTTTGAGGGAAAATGACAGCATCAATGATGCTCTTCGCTCTCCCTTGTCCAGATGTCCTTTTTAGACAACATGCCCTGACGTCTTTCAGCCACCGTCAATTGTAGGTCTTGTGGGGCAGATACCTGACCCAAGATGGGCCAAGTGTTCTTTCTCCTTGACTTTGGAACTGGAATGAAAAGACTGAGACCCAGTTTCAAAGTGGGGGGTCTTGGAGGGGTGGTGAGAAGAAAATCTATAGTTTGTCAAAGCCAGAGCTCCATGAGTGTTCTGGGAATACTGAGAAAGAGGGGCTAGCCATGGCTTCCCCACTGCTTCCAGTAACCCACTCTACTAGGGTTAGCTTGAATTCATTGGGTTTTCCATCCCAGCAACCAAACCAAACCTGACTCTCCACACCAAATCCACCAAATATGCTTTTATATCAACTAGCCCTCTTTCCTCCAACCTTTAGCCAAGATGTCCTGAGCCATTTTGCTGAGTGCAAGATAGGTAATATCTGTGGCATATTTCTGATCTGATCACCACTCTGGGAAGGTGGGAGATCTCTTAAGGGGAAATGAATAGGACCTAGATGACAAGGTGCTGACTTGCTTTCGTTGGACACATTAACAGGAAAGTCAACAGTGGTGAGTGAAAATCCTCCGTGAGACAAATGGACACAAGAACCACCAAGGACTCCACTCAATCACTCCATATATGGAGATGATGTGGGACTGGGTAGTGTTTCCTTCTGTTATATGGAAGGTCATATAACATGAGTGAGAGCCCACACCATAGCAACTAACAGCAAAACTGCTCACCCTGGGCTAGGTTCTGACGGGTAGGCTCTGGGAAGAAACTTCCCCACCCCAGAAGTTGTGATCCTTTTCCAAGGGGTCCCACCCTTTCCTCTCACTCCTTTTCCAGCCCCAGATGTGAAGCCCACAGTTCAAGGGATGGGAAGCTAAGCCCTGCTTAAACTTGGACATGTCCACAGAGCACAGGGCTGAAAGGGCAGCTCAACTGCACTCCCCCTCTCCCCAGGTGGCTGACATCAAACACGGCACTCCATCTTTAATTGGAAGAGTTTTGGGAGCCAGGACTAGGCCCCTATCTTGGTAGGGAGAGGTGCTCAGGGTCTTGGCTGGATGCAGCTCGAGGCTGGGGTCTCTCCCCCACAGATGATGAAGCCACTTTGCATTTGCCAGACAGGAAACCTAGGGATGCCAGAGGCAGGGGAGGAGGCAGACAGTGGAGTACTCCCCCTACTCAGCTGAGCAACCACATACAGGATGATGCTCTCTGTGTCCTCAGATGTGTACGGCCATCTTCAGACATAGTCCAGCCAGGTCCCACGCATCCACAGGAGCATACTTTCCTCACTTCACCAGTCCCTGCCCAGAGACTACCACCTTTCCTCTGGTAGATCCAGGGGCACGTTCTCCAGTAAACAAGGTAAGTTTTGTAGAATCAAAGATTTTGGTCCAGCCTCATGCTTCCTATGGTATAGTCATTAGCTCTGTTTGCTGATGTCTGCACCATCAAAACAGTTTATTGTCAAATTCACATGCATTTCCAGGGCAGGGGTTTGCGATGAGCCCTTTGATCTGGGTGGGAGTGTAGATTCTCTAGGACCCTGGGGTGGGTGGTTGTGCAATCCCAAGTGGACAGCCTGATGAAGAGCCTGGAAATCAGGAAACTGGACCTTATAAAGTCCGGATGGACCTTCCACTGAGTGAGAGTAGCTTAGAAGCAACTTCAACATTGTTCAGAGCTGTTGGAGCTTCAACGTGGACACATGCAAACCAGATGCAACTATTATGCAAATCTATGTAAAATACATGGATGGGCCTCCCAACTATTACACGCCAGATGAGGCCCTTGGGGACCCTGAGTTTAGCTGAGCCCTATGTGGGGCTGAGAGATGAGCCAACAGTCACCAGTTTTTGATGGTAGGCAGGAAGGACTTGGCTCCAAGGCAGTTCACACATTGAGGAGAGGAATCAGTTCCACTGGGTTTGAATCCTGGCTCTATCATTCCCAAGTTGCATGACTTTAGCAGAGTCACTTCTCTCCTCTGAGCCTCTGTTTGTTGTTAAGTACTATTGAGTCGGTTCCGACCCATAACGACCCTGAATAAGGTTTTGGAGGAGCAACTGGTGAGCTTGACTGAACCACCCACTTTGCGGTTCAAACTAACTTTGCAGTCCAGTGCATTAACCCACAGTGCCACACTAGGACTCCAAGCCTCTGTTAGTTGTTCTTAGGTGCCATCAAGTTGGTACCGACTCATAGCAACCCTATGTACAACTGAATGAAACATTGCCCGGTCCTGGGCCAACCTCACTATCGTTGCCACACTTGAACCCATTGATGCTGCCACTTTGACAATCCATCTCGCTGGGGGTCTTCCTCTTTTTTTCTGACCCTCCACCTTACCAAACATGATATCCTTCTCCAGCGACTGGTCCTTCCTGACAATATGTCTAAAGTATGAGCGACAAAGTTTGGCCATCCTGGCCTCCAAGGAACACTCTGGCTACACGTCTTCCAACACAGATCTGTTGGTTCTTTTGGCAGCCCATGACACTTTCAATGTTCTCCTCCAACACCATAACTCAAAACCATCAATTTGTCCGCGGTCTTCCTTATTCACTGTCCAGCTTTCACATGTATATGAGGTTATTGAAAATACCATGGCTTGGGTCAGGCGCACCTTAGTCCTCAAACTGACATCTTTGCACTTCAACACTTTTAAAATGTCTTGTGCAGCAGATTTGCCTAATGCAATACGTCATTTGATTTCTTGACTGCTGCTTCCGTGAGTGTTGGTAGTCGATCCAAGAAGAATGAAGTCCTTGACAACTTCAATCTTTTCTCCGTTAATAAAAAAGTTGTTTATTGGTCCAACGGTGAGAATTTTTGGTTGTTGTTTTTTTTACGTTGAGATGCAATCTATTCCGAAGGCTGTGGTCTTTGATCTTCATCAGTAAATATTTTAAGTCCTCTTCACTTTCAGCAAGCAAGGTTGTATCATCTGCATATTGCAGGTTGTTAATGAATCTTCCTCCAATCTTAATGACATGTTTTTCTTCATAGAACCCAGCTTCTCAGATTATTAGCTCAGCATACAGGTAGAATACGTATGGTGAAAGAATACAATCCTGTCGCACACCTTTCTTAATTTTAAACCATTCAGTGTTCCAATGCTCTGTTTGAACAACTGCCTCTTGGTCCATGTACAGATTCCTCATGAGCACAATTAAGTGTTCCGGAATATTCATACTTTGCAATGTTGTCCATAGCTTTTCATGGTCCACACAATCAAAAAGCCTTTGCGTAGTCAATAAAGCACAGGTAAACATCTTTCTGATATTCTCTGCTTTCAACCAAGATCCGTCGGACATTAGCAGTGATATCGCTCATTCCATGGCCTCTTCTGAGCCTCTGTTTAGCCATTTATAAACTGGTGGTATGGTGACGGTTGAGTACCATTGAGCCAATTTTGTCTCAGAGCAACCCCACATGACAGAGTGGAAGTGCCCCATAGGATTTTCTAGTATGTAATCTTTACGGGAGCAGATTGTCAGGTCATTCTCCTGCGTAGTCACTGGGTGACTTCAAACCACCAATCTTTTGGTTAGCAGTGGAGCGCTTAACTGTTGTGCCACCAAGGGTCCTTAAAATGGTTGCTACCAGGCATAAACGAGAACATTGGTTGAAGCTCCCATCTGCATGGTCAGACACAGATGCTCAGTGAGGGCTGGGGCGGCTGTCTGGAGTACTTCCACTCACCGAAATGACCACTGTGCCCTTAACATCATGCATGGGTCCTCCTCCCAGGACAGCATGTGCAGCTGTGGGTTTGCAGACTGTCAGTGTACGATGGGCCAGTGATCCACATACATCAGAAGCGCTACAGCTCCCCATCCAGACCCCTGTGCCTGGCCAGTGCACCCTCTCCCAGCTGCAGCCATGACTGCCGATATTCAC